ATTTGTATGTATGGGTGCCACACCTCGACAGCTCCGTGCGAACGTATTCTACCTGTCGGGGATGAATCTGCTGCCCCCTTCTCATCTTCTCGACGGGGCCGTGCGTATTCGAAATATGGTCGGAGCATGAAAAATCGGATTCCATAATCGTTTTACGCGCTCGGCCGAAGTTCATGTGTGTTTGTAATGAAATATTTAACGGGACTGCGTGTGCGAGAGGCAGTAGTTGTATATTACCGAGCTCGCCCGCTATGGAATTGTTGCAGTCTTTTCAATTTTATTGGCCTTCGGCGGCTTACTTCGGTGACCATAAATTTTCGTAGGTTAAAGAGAAAGGGGGTAGGGCGGGAAGAGAACAGGGAGATATGGGGCAAGAGGGAGGGATGAAACGAGAGAAATAGATTTCCTAGCGCGATGAATTTTACGTGTTGGCATGCTAGAATTATTATATTGTAATTTAATGCAATGGCCAAGAAAGCAAGAGAAGAAAGTCAGAAATTACTGAGACTATAAATGTTGGCTGATTGATAAACACTCCATTGCTTATTTTTCCCCCTTTAGCTTGATGGAGGAGATGAGGACTATAAATTGCGAGTAGTGGTTATTTTTCTCTCTTGCGCAAGCCAAGTCCAGGCTATTGTCCTGTGGGAAATGCAATGGGGATTCGAAATAATTATTTTAAGCTAAGAATGCTTATTGTTGTAAGAAGATATAAAAGTTTCCTTACTGTCATTCGCTTACTTTGATTTATGTGTGTTAATAAGTAGTGTATTGTCCTCGTTTAAAAGTATTTAAATTTGAGGAAAGATTAAAAATTTGTTGTACTTGCTGGAAATTAAATAATAATCATTTATTGTTGAATTTTTCTATTAATACTATAATTGAAAATGTTCTGGGATTTAGGGAAAGCTTCATGAAAATGTTTGTATAAAGAAATATTAATGTAATAAGATAAGATCGTTGCTCTTTACACAAAATATTTCTGTTTTGTCAAGTCTTTCAAATAATTGTTTTCTAATACTTATCAATAAATAAAGACAGATTTACAATCAATTATTAGATGATAATGTATGTTGAAAAAACTTGTTAATTTTATAATTTTAAATAGAAAGTTTACTACAGAGTACTGTATTTAACTGTACGTCCCTGTCTTATGCTTGAAAATTTTCAATAATGCCATTTATTGCTCCCGTTAAAAAATCATAAGGAGATTTTATATAAAGATCCTTTCAACAGCTGACACTCGTGAACCTATTCGACGAAGTATGGACCTAGAAATAAGTAGGCAAGAGCGCCAGTGGAAGTTGACTCGTAAAGCGTCGGATTCCTAATTTCCTTGACTATAACCGATTGTCTCTGTGGCTGGGTATTAGTCTCATTCTCGCCGTGTGGCAAAATAAAACGGAAGTGTTTCGTTGTAGCTCGTTTCGGTGGCTGCAGCGACGACGACGTTGACGAGGGGTGAGGTCTGGGAGAATGAGTTAGCCAGCAAAAAAGGCGCACGCAAGAACGATATAGAGAGATAGATGCAGAGCAGCGTTAGCAACAGTCCCGCGCGTATTTATAGTATCGCTGGGGGCCCATGTTTCAAAATCTCAAGCAGCTCATAAAAGATAATTGTACATGGATGGTCATATATGCGTCGGCGCACGTGTCGCATAAAAATTCAAGCGCACATCAAAGTGTGGCTACCATGGCTGGAAGATTCGCGCGGAAGAATGCGAGCGCCGGTCGCGTGCCAAGAAGCTCGCCATGCGAGATTAGTTCGCGGTTACTGCTTATTATTAAGCTGCGATGCGAGCAAGTGGACGAACGTGTGGGAGGAGGAGGATGCGACGAAAAGATAAACTCAGCTCTTTTATCAAGCGCGCGTACGATAGCGCGTGCGTGCGGAAACGTGGATCCAACACCATGAGTTAAGTAGTAGAGAGGGCGCCGTTCCTCGCCTGATGGAGTTAAGAGATTTTGAATGTTAACCTCGTTAGGGTAAACAGAGGCTAAATAAACAGGCGTGCGCCGTTCTCTCTCATGTATCTCGCCCACAGGTACGTGGACCCATACATACTTAACGCGCACTGCCCGCTATTGTCAGTACGGAAATGCTGAAATACTCGGAGAGCTCCGATATGCCAGCTTTGATCCAGGTACCGTTACGCTGCGGTGAGAGATGCGCCCGCATCGTGGGATAATCTTAGGATGCGCCACCTGAAATTTTGAAAAGAGCTCGTCACGAGACACAAAGGTTTGGGCCCTTCGTCCCTATCTTGCTGACCCCGCCTCCTAACTCGGTCGCCCCTTTCCCTTCGAATAAACCACTACCTTATCTTTTCTTCTCAAGCCGGTTTATAGGAAAATGTAATGCACTGGAAAGTCTGGAAATTTTGATCGAACAATGAAATACGGCTTTTAATTGTCGGATGCATTGGGTGGCCATTCAAAAGCCTTAGTTATGGACGATATGAACACAAAAGTTTACAGTGTCGTTGCTGATAGTGAGAACGAAAGAGAGAAATGCACAGAAATAGTCTGTGAATGCAGGCTGGGGTTATTAGGAAAATGAAATTAATTAAGAAAAAGTTTTTATAATAAATGTATGAAGGCGGTCCTTTAGTACGTAAAATTAATTATTTCCTTATAATTTTCAGTGACAATGGTTATCATGCACTTAAAAATTCATTGAAATAGAAAGTAGACGGTTGCGAAAATTTATATTTACTGATCGTGATATTAGAATTGAGGCACAGGAGAATGGAAAGGAAGAGTATTGTGAATATTATTTGTAATGTTCTAGTTAACCTGAAATCAATTAAGTTGGAAAAAAAGTTGCTTTCAATGAATGTTCTCTTTGCAGACGAGTATATGAAATACATTTATTAATTATATTCACTAGTAAAGGTGAAAATCGTATACTTAAAATTTTATTGTAAGTAACATACTGTATGGAATATTGCATTTTATGAATTTACATATAATTTCATAAATGAAACTACAAATGATCTGTCTTGTTATTTATTATATAAAAAAATAATAGTTTATAATGCTTTACGATTTAAATTATTGTTGTATCTTAATAATTTTAAATGTTTATTGTACCATTATTTATTAATAAATACAATCAATATAATCGTAATGAAGATAGACATCAAGTTGTTATATTTCTTGTAGCTAAAAAGAAACGTAAATAATCACTTATTTATGTTAATCTTTTTAATACACTTTTTATAACTATTCTCATACATAATGCAGTAAGGTGATAGGGATATTGTCCGCTACGTTTCTTCGAAGCTGTGTGTATTTATTACAGAATAAACGAATTTAAAAAGTTAATTCAACTTAATAATACTGTATAGACTTATCATGAAATTTTAAGCGAAAAAGTGCTTCGCATTTCTCTTTAATAGTCTTTTAAAAGAGTACTTTAACGATGTGGAAATTTCATTAATGCCCTCTGTTTAGTAAGTTGCTCAGATAGAATAATATTTGGTTAGTTTTTTTCAGAGCACCGTTTCTTGTTTGAGCGCATTGACATACGTCAGCCTACTTTTTCAACGCTTATATATTTTCGTATGCAGAGAAGAGGCTATTCTCACGGTGACGCAAGTCAAATAAAACTCTATTTCAAAAACAAATGTCAAGTAGCGCTTACAATAAACTCATTTTCGGGAACTTGAAAGTAGTTTTTCTCTTAAAACAATGTTTATTATTGACTCGAGTTGTATGTTACCCTCACGATTTCATTACTAGGGATCAAATAAAATCCCGATTTAACATGTTTATATTTAAATAAATGTATTTATTATTAAATATTTGTAATAATTTGTCGAAAGATTTATTTTATAATATATCATATGAATGAAAACAATATATAAATTGTTAAAAATACGATTAAAAATCTTTGAAAGAAATTAATTTAATATAATAGCTAAACGTCTCTGAAATTTTTATTATAAGATATTATAAATAAATAAAACAAAGCACGATTCATTTTCAATTCTTGAATTGATTTCTAAATAACTACGTTATATAACAATTTATATATATGAAATATCACAATTAAATTTGTATATACAAATATATTTCTATTCAAGATTGCACTTGTAACTTTTCATTTTATAATATATGTATGCGCGTAAAATAAGATAATGATTAGATTTCAATCGAAAAGACCCTGAAATCATTCACGATAAATAACAACAAGTAATTAGAGGTATTCATACGTATAATCTAAATAAAAATATTTTTGATTAATTGGTATTATATATTGATAAACAAAAGGCTGATTTAAAGTAATATAAAAGAGTTGTTTGTAAATTAACTTTCAATATACTTGATCCGCCGCGGGCTATATGCGGATGGACTTTTCATTATAATTTGAGGAAAAATATTTCTAAATTTTATGGGAATGGGTATTAATTTTAAATAATTGCGTTAAATGGAGTGTTTTGCATAATAAAAGCAAAAGAGCGCCCTAATAAATGAAGCGTAATAATTTCAATTGCTTTTGTGTCGAGCAATTATGAATGAATTCTTTGAATCGTACATACGTAATTGCTCAACAGCCACTAGAAAATTCTTCGACGTAAAAGCTCATTCCTTTTTACTTATTTAAAGCACTTGTAAAAGTGAATCAGCACGTCTGTGCAGTGATTCGCAGTTGCTCAGACCGAGGCAGTGCAATAAGGTTATACACACGAATCATCGAACAGCAATTTATACTCAATTGTTAATGTGTAATGGTAGAATTTTTTCTTATTTTCGTTCAATTATAAATTTGAAAAAAATAGCAATTCACATGACGATTCCAGATTTTGCCATCAATTATTAAATGCAATTTATCCAGATTCAATAAAGAACAACTGTACATATCGATCCAATTATCGCTTGAGAGAGAATTAGAATCTGCCCACAATTTCTTCGCTAATTATAAGGTTAAGGAAGTTATGCCTCATGTAGAGACTGTAATGACGCATGTGTATGCATTATGACTTGTTGCAGGGTACTGGAGGTCGTAAGTAATCAAGAAATATTATAACAACGGAGTTACCGCCAGCACCGGTGGAAGCCTTTCAATTATCGCGACCCGTGCTCATTTTCACATAAACATATAGACAGGCACGCACGCACGCACACACGCACACACGCAAGCACGCACATACGCGCGCGCGAAGGGCGGCTGGTGTACACATTAAACAACGAGATGAAGAAATGAGAGAAAGCAATCGAAATGAGGCCGAGATCTTGTTGCTGGTTACTCCTCGTGCTGTACCTGGCCATCGTGCTGTCCTCAAACCCGGTCTATTCATTCACATCTGACGAAGGTGAGCCTTTCAATTTCTGTACTCTCATTTATTCTAGCCGCTATTGCCTGTATAAAATATCGATTTAGGGATCCACACGCATATCTACGTAATGTTCGCGTGGGGCTGATGAATCGCTAATGAATTCACGATGAATGCGCACCGTTATATGTATACGGCGTTATTTTCCCCTTGTTTTTTTCTTCTATATAACGCACTCTATGCAGGCTCTTTATACATGCTTACGCGCCACATGATGATTTTCTACGTAGGTATGTACGATTTTCTACATAAGACCGCCCATGTCAAATCAACGAGTCGTTCTACATTATAAATCAACGAAGCATGTATGAGTTGCACGCGGGAGTATTTCAAGTGCGTATCAAATTTTTTTCGGCAAGAGCAGGGGAGTGTATTGTCAAATACCAGGAACCGATACTTTTGCAATAGCGCAATATTGTGAATTTGAGTTTGTATTTTGGAATACTATGTGAATTCGGGGATCGATAGCATGTACTGGCAAGACTGTTTCCATTCTTTTTAAATGAATCGGTGAAACTGATGAAAATAGTTTCAATGTCGCGGTTAAAGTCTTCAACAATTGGCATTGAATTTTTCGACAGATTCGGTTTAATGGACGAATGTAACTTTGAATTATAACGTTTTTTATCAATGTTAAAATATGATAGCAAAAAAATACAAAAAGTATATTCTGTATTATATAATATGCTATTTAAGATATAATATAACTTATGCATATATCTGTAACATGTACAACGTTGAATCAAAGTAGACCAATTTGCTTGATTTATCCTCATATTGATGATCAATGTCATGTTTCAAACTGGATTGACTTATAAGCGATATGATAGTAAAAATATAAAAAATCCGTAATTCAAAGTTTAGTTCCATTTTATGAATTACTATAACATGAATGAAACTGTTCCAGAACTGCATTTCTTATTAAATCTATCAGTCAGAAACTTATTATATATTTTTATTCGAGTATCGATGACTTTGCCAAGCTCGAATCTTTTTATGAAAAAGGGATTTTCATACCTATTTTATGTATAAAATGAGATGCTTTGCACAAAAATGATTGTATCGTAGAGTTATTTTGTATGTATGTTGTCAATTAACAACTATTAATTCGACATTTCAAATGTTTGCAGACACGAAACGCTTAAAATTATGAATCCATTTATGTAAAACTTTCATACAAATTATCATCGAAATTTCTTGATCAAAAAGATAATTCATCTATCTTACAATTCAAAAAATCGCATGTTTCTATCATATCATATAAATTAAGAAATCCATATCTAATAAAAAACGAGTATCTTCCATTCGTGCCTTGTTTTCTTAATCAGAGCTTAAATTGAAGAATACATTCTCGGTGTATCTACATGCGAGCGAATTCATCTCGAAGATAATTTTACGTTATCGGATAGTAATATACAGTTGCTCAGATACACTCATGGCCTATATTATTTCTCTGTTTCTTTCATTCTCGTAGCGTGAATGTGCTAATGAAGCACTGCGCATAAGGTCAGAGTTGATGAGGTTATGGAGTATCAATCAAGATCGGTATTCATAACATATTGCGTAATAATCTCCGGCAGCATTCGCGTGCGGACAAGCCGACTTTTTTTCTCCCACTTCTTTAGGGTCAGCAGGATTCGAAATCTCTCATTCCAGCGCTAATAATTTATCGATTCGAGAAGCGGTCGCCTCCGCCTCCGTCTCCGCCCTCACACCGACGTCAGATTGCTTCTCCTCTGTGGCTCGCTAGCTGAAGAGATAATTATTGTCGGAAGAAACTGAAAAAGCAACTATGTTTCCTATAGTTGTAAGGCTTTGTTTCTTTGCATTCCTTTTCCACGTCAAATGCAGAATCATACAAGCGACGAATTTCCTTTATTTTTACATTTCTTACAATTTTTCTCATTATATCAAATAGCACGAACAAGGTGTAAAACTTAACTATAATGTCTTTATATAATATCTTCGTAGTACGTAGCAATATGATTCGAGATTTCAACTACAGAATAATTGTATGGAATTACGTACAATTTAGAGAACACTTCCGTTTTATGATGCAAAATTGATTTGCATTGCGTAGTACAATGTGATTATTATTAATCAAGTCTTCCGGACATTTGAAGTATTGTGAAATCACGGCAGTATATTTTAGGCTTTCTTCAACTCACATGTCTAAACCGTAGAAATTTTTAAGGAATGTATATTTTTATACCGTTTTTATTCGCTCAAAAAACTACGAATATTACCGGATTTCCAAATTTTCAGTACTCTTACGGATAATGAAGTGTATTAAATATGTGTTTGAATGACGCAGCAACTATATTTATTTCATTTATAGACACACTATGTCGGCGTCCCTTTTTCATTTTATAATTGCCATTAAAATTGTTGGTGAATGTCTTCTTAAAAATAAATGATGATTTCAATTGATTCTAATTGATTCGGATGCATATTCTCAATTGGTTTAATTTGAATCAATGAATGTAATAGGACGATTTTGTTGCTTAAAGTATAAGCTCAATAGGAAAAAGTATAATTCAGTCTCTTTTCTTTGAAATGAATATATGAATCTAATGAAGGATAATTTCCAAGCTTTAATAACATGTATTTTTCTACTTCTCTATGATCAACTTTTCGCATCGATGAAATTATTAATTTTAAATATTCAATTTGCTATCTTAGTGGTACGCATACTCAAAGCGTAAGCAATCATTAATTGCATCGTTAATTGAAATTTAGAATTGATAATCAAGCTTTTATCATGTCAAAAGGAATATTCTTCAATAAGGTCTTCTTAAACAATTACCAGTAATAATTAATTAAAAAAAATTTAAACGGCGTTGCCTATAAAATTTAATTATACATTTAGAAAATCTTTTTTTCACATAATTTGAACAATTATTTAAATACTCTCGTGAAATCAAGAAATATGAGTAAATAAACATCCTATTAAGAGTATAACCATATATCATATATAACCTCACCATGTATACCACCAACGAGAATATTTTCAATTTTTTTCCTTCTTGATGAGTTACGCAAATCGCCATCGTTATATAACAATAAAGCAAGAAATGTCCTCTCGCTTCCACATTCCGTTTCAAAGTACTATATGAACAAGTTAATTCCAAAGTACCTTTCATACACCGAAAAAAGTAAAATGATAATTGTCTAAGTGTGCGCGCCTTTATCAAAAGAAAGCTTGGAAAATAATTCCCATGCATGCCAGTCTTCTCTCTCTCTCTCTCTCTCTCTCTCTCTCTCTCTCATTCTCATATTCAAACTATCTTATTATTCACTCTTCCTCACTTTCTATATAATTTTTTTTCACTCACGTACCGAAAGAAGTAGCTCCGGTCGCGGCTCGTATTTGCAAAGATAGATACTGACGCTTGTCTGGAAGTGGTAACATCAACGGGGGTGTTGAATATCGCGTAATGACTCCATGTAGAATGCCCAGCTATGGAACTGTGATAATAGCAGCCCTTGGCAAAGACATTAAATAACGCGAGGCTCTTTATTTTTCTGTTGGGCTGTCGCGTGTAAAACGTAGGCGGGGTGGAATGCCACAACGGCCGTCTTACGTTTCGTTAGCCTTACTGTATTTGCATTGGCTTTTCTTATGCTTCGTACCTAATACTTTTTTTTGCTTAGTTATAGTGCTTGTAACAACGTATATATACATCACATTGATCACAATTTAATCGACAGTTTTATTTAATTTGATGACCGTGAAATACTCACGTATAGTAGGAATATATTTTTTGGACGAGTGTTTGTATTCTGCGTGGCGTATATTCATGAATGTGTATGCAGGCGTGTCTTTTACATATAAATGTAGCAATTTTATTTTTAAAAGAAAATTTTTTATTGAACGTTTTTATTGAATATTGTATATTCTCAGAATCAAAATAAAAAAAATTATTTTTTTAATATAGAATTGTCATATCAGAGTGAGTATAGTCTAAAATGAAAATTTTATTTTCGCTAATATTTATCGTAAAAAGTTAAGAAACTGTTTGTGTAGAAAACTTAAATGAATAAAAATCAAAGTTCTAATTACATTTGCATTCAAATGAGTTCATTGCTTTACTAATGAACGTAGAAAATACTTTTACACATAAAATGATCAAAGTATATTACTTTAATAATATTTAAATTAGTTTATTTTATTGTAACACGATGTTTCAAACGTATATATTGCTATATAAATTTTCATACAATTGGCATTAAAGTTAATACTTTAATAATGTAAACAAAAATAATATAATTCCAATTTAATTATGGTATTAAGAAGGAATTGAAATAGATTATCTTTTTAAAAAGGAAGGAAATAGCAGAAATGATTACTTTAAAATTTAATTTTAAAATTCTTATTTGATTTAAAAAGAGTTTTCTTATTTAAAATGTAAGTTTCGGTTTTGACTATATACGACATACATGCAGTAATGTGCAATAAAATTTCTATTAAACTAAAAATAATAAATCCTTGAGACGTATAAAATAGGAATAATTTATCTATCTTACACGATGTCAATCTTTATAAATAGTATTATATGTGAAGGTTGCAAAAAAAATTTGTGAATATTTATTATCGTCCTTTAATATAAATAATCAAATCAACTGATACATAGATTTATGATGTATTATCTTATTTTTATAATCTACACATGATATCTTACTTTTATAAATAAAGTATAATAAAAGCTTCCTATCTTATAGTAATAAAAAAACAGCATTAAATTAATACGTGTATTTATATAATCGAATCCATGAATATCGATTCTAATTTACAAAAAATTTATAAAGATGAAATCTCTACTATTTTACGAAAATTTTCTTCAAATTCGGAAATTCGGAAATAATTTTATAAAATAAAGGTTTATTTGAAAATGCATTACTTATTTGTTTCAGTAAGCGAGGATGTTGGCTCCGAGGATGAGGAGGCGTATGCTCTTGAGGACGATGACGTGCCTTCAGCAACGATAGCCAGCGACCCAGAGCTTTCCGGAGGTAATCTGCCGGTATTCTTAGCTGAGCCCGTGAGCTCGTACGTGGTAAAGAAGACGCCAGCGACGCTTCACTGCAAGGCTGCCCACGCTCTCCAGGTCTATTTTCGGTGCAATGGCCAACGAATAAAGGATCACTTCCAACAGGATTTCGTGGATCCGCACACAGGCACGCGGATCATCGAAAGCGAACTCAACATCACGCGCAATCAAATTGAGGAATACTTCAGTAAGGATAAATTCAAGTGCGAATGCATTGCGTGGTCGGGCTCCGGACAGATCAACAGTCAGTCGGCAACCATTGACGTCGCTTGTGAGTACCAACCTGGGCATATTCTGTTCCTTGCCAACGTTCGTAAGTAGAAATATTCCCTTAATCGCCTGAATTTTGGCGGCGTCTTTGAGATATTGCTCTTGCGCGAAGAAACGAGTTGCCAATTAATACAAAATCCCGCTGTGGTTGCGGTAAGATAAAATTGACCTGAAAACAAGTTCACATTATGACGTCTTTACGACTGTATCAGTAAAGGTTAATGCGCGTGTCCTTGCATGATAAATTTGTGAGAATATATCTTGCGTATATCTTTATAGAAAAATTAGTCGTACGTTAAATAGCCAGGAGGCTGATCGATATCTTGCTTTGGTTCCATTAGTTTACACAATTTATAAAGGTTCACGCACGTTATTTTTGCATACTAGTGTGATTCATAGGCATGTGCGTGTTATATACCTTTATAATACGTTAATGATCTTGAAAATAAATAAGTAGAAGTACATATATATTTTTATAAATATGCTTACAGTTACTTTAGATTTTAGAAAAAGATTTCAAACATTCGTGTCTGAAAAAAATATTTCAAAACTATGAGCATTAAATTGTAAAGTTAGATAAATTTATTACTGAAATTCATAATTTTCAAGGAAAAGATAGTTAATTTAAATTATTTTGAATTTAATATGCGTTGACATATATTATAACAGAATACATATTTTGTTACATAATCTAGATATGGCTACATTCCTTTTAAAGTAACTCTAAATTTGTAGTACGTTAATGTATCGATTGGATGTAGTAATATGAAATGGAAAATATATATATATATATATATATATATATATATATATATATTTTTATGCATGGATTACCATTAATAACTTGTATGACACAGAGTATTTAAACTTTATTTCTGTTTATTTTAAATATCTGCCGATATTTATTCATGATTTATCTGGAACTGTTCTACAACTCTATAAATTATTCGCGCAACATAATTAATTGCCTCGCCCTTCTAATAAGCATGTAAATATTGCGAGTGTTTGCCGAATAATTAAACGAGCGCGATGACTGTTAAAATCAGAATACTAGAGACCTAGAGAAATTATGCGTACAGGTACGATGTACGGAACACGAGAACGATGCCAAGTAAAATAAAGGCATGTTTGTTGAGTTGTCTTTCTTGAATGAGCGACCGAGTGGTAGTTTGCGCGGCTGTAACCAGAGTATTTTAACTGCGGTCTCCTTTGCCGAAATACATTGGATTTTATTTTGATGTGAATAATGTTATTTTAGCGGTTAAACTTGAGACTTTTGTGTACAGAGAGGAGTAGGGGGAGTTCTCAAATTTAACTTAAATTTCTTTACGGCGGGATACAATCTGAACCTGAGTATTGCCGAGCGATATTTTTAAATGTGTCAAGAATGTTCAAACATCTGCCGATGTTCATGTGGTGTGTTACTTTTAGGCGACTATAAAATATTTAAAATTCCATATTTAAATTAAGTTGATATATATGTAGAAGAATTGCATAAGTATAATAATTCACTAGTCGAGTATAATTTTAGTTAATTCGATCGTCTTTCACGTACATACAATCGCTCTTTATGGATACGTGGTTTTAATATTACATATGGTTGGCAACTCAGCGCAGCTTCACCATTTAACTAAAAGTGAGTAGTGAAAAGTATCTTTTGATTTATTTATTTGTCAATTAAATTTTCTGTGTACGAGTGGACAAACTCATTCTATTTTTATGAACGAGCTGGCGTTTACAGTAGTTTTCCAATGGCTGTACCTAAAGTCGCTTATTACGAGTAGAACAATAGTCGCATTATTCACTATAGTATCGTGCGGTATCTCTGTTCATTGGTATATCAATGATAAAATATTTCCATAAAAACAATAAAAGTGCTTAAAATTAGATGACATGATATATGAAGTCGTCGTACAGTAATACCATTTGCATAATTTTATCACGTTAATTTCTGCAAATGTGCTTGTTCTCTTGTTTTCTTTGGATATATTTAAGAGTTATTTTTATGATTATTCCGTTGCGTTATTTAAAATATTTTTTATGTTAAGAATACGTATTTTTTTATTATTATTCATTGTCTATTTTAAAAATCTTTTTAGCTAATGATTATTATGATTTTTACGATCTAAAATGTTATGTTATTTTATATATATAATATTTGATTCAAAAAGATACATTTTTTCAACCACAGGAAAATATAAGTGCATAAAGTTGACTTGTTTGACACATGCCAGCAGTTCTCTTATCAATTACTTATCTACCAGCCATAACAGACCAGACTACAAAAGATTAAAGGCATTAAAGGGATAAAACTTTTAGAGACTAATGCATGAAGTCAAAGGGTAGATATCTGTTTGCTTTTATGTGCAATATAATTTGATATTTAATTAAATCATATGTAACTGTATTAAAAATTATATATATGTATGTATTTTTATATCATAAATTATAATAAAATATAATTTAAGCACATTATTCGTTTATTTTTTATAAGTTAAATATTTTTTCCAAGTTTCTACTTGTTTTTAAAAGTAATATTAAATTTCACTTACATTATCTAATGAAGATTAAAATCTCAGTATAACAGATATTATGTAACTTAACGTTATCTCATTTATAACTTTTGTAGTATTATCCTTTTGTACTTTATATTCTTTCTCGAGTTTAACGTGTGAAAAAAAATATCTACGATAATAAGTTTTTCGCAGTACGGTGAAATGAGACAAAGGACAATAAAGAAAGGGGGTGAGAGTAAAAAAGTGAAAGAGAGAAAGAGAGAAAAATTAGAGAGAGAGAGAGAGAGAGAGAGAAAGAGTGAGAGAGAGAGTGAGATAGGAGAGAAATAAGTTTGCGCAGAGCTTAGAGTTTTACCGTGTACTTCATTGGGAAGCTCTTGAGAAATCAAGCGCACATCTGGTCATAGTCTGTCATCTAGTTTTCTCAAGAGTAATTTTTCGCCGTAACAAAATCGACTCTCTTTTCTATGTGTACATCTATAGCGATGTTCGTAGAGAACAAACGTTCGCGGAATATTGAGTGCACAGAGATTATCTGATTTACTTTTCAATATTGGTAATCTTTTAGGGTATGTGTACACTGCACGCACACGCATGCATTGCCTTATCCAGATCTGAAGAAACAATTTGAAACTGTAGCTTTATTTCAGAATGCATTTATGTAATTATAAATGAACCTGCTGTGTACTGTGTATTCCATAAAACAGAGTCGATGCAATAACAATGTATATCATTTTTCAGAAAGCATTACGCGTGTTGCAATTTGCAGGTGATATTATTTATTAATCTAGAATTAGATATGATTGTATCGAAGGATGCTATATTTAAGATACAACACCCGATAAATGTAGTAGTAGAAGCTGGAAGTACCAAATTCAAAAGGAAAGAATTTCCAAATAATACCGTCGACGACATTTTCCCTGTGAAACATATCCAGATGCCGCTGACTCAATTTCCTCTCCTCTTAAATAATTCTTTCGCAAAATACGTACGTCCCGGCAATACGAAATTCCCCAGTTCCCGTTCGAACTTCATTTTTCTCTCCCTCCCATGGTCTACCCCACAAACCGAAAAAAGAAGAGGTTGTGGAAAGAGAAGGAACCATAACGTCTTTTTTCCACAATCGCGCTATTCGATCTCGATCCTTCGGCTTTTTTCCTATCGGTTCCCTAACTAATAGCATCTTTCCCTTCAACAGTTTTGAAGAAACAATTCGAATCGCCGCCTTACTCGGTGTCGGTCGAGGCCGGCCAGGGTATGCAGCTACGATGCCTGCCACCGATAGGTCTGCCGCCGCCCCGAGTATACTGGATGAGGAACGGCGTAAATCTCGGCGCTGAGTCTACGGACACACTCCTCGTATCGAGCGAGGGCCATCTGCTGGTCGGCCAGGCGAGTCTTGATCATCAGGCGAATTATACCTGTGTTGCGGAGAATATCGCCGCCAAGAGGTTAAGCGAGCCTGCCAGGATCACCGTCTACGGTAGGTCTACCTCCCGGCAACAGGACATTATGTCCACAGGCGTGGGAGCTTTTTAACGTGGCGCATTTCGGGAGTTTGTCCGCAACGATTCTAGTAATTTTGCGCCATTGAATTTTGGAAAAGCGCTCGCGGTGGCTCCTCTTATTTTCCATATTCATCTTCAGATAGAGACGACGCGATTAGAAGGAGCATCTGGACTTTTATCCAGGAGTCGGTCTTATATTTTGAATTTTCACATGAACTTGAGCGTGGATATTTGCATAAATGAGATAAATGTTATTCGGAGATTAAAGTTTAAACGGAGTGGAAGTTGAAGTTATGCTGGGCACAGAATATCAAGATGTTATTTAAAAATTATTTTTTGTCTTAACTTCCATATATGGTATTTTGGCATCAAGAAAGTGATTTATTTCTAGTTGGCAAATCGCTCGCTCAGAACCAGTTTTCTTTTATCATCATATTTATCATTTTTTAGTCGAGCGTGCGGAACTATTTATACTGAACGTTTACACATTTACAATGAGATGATTAATATATTGTAAGGAGAAAATTACTTTTGTAACAAAAATGAACGATCGAGTTTAGTAACAGTCTTCACAGATACAAAAGTAAAATTTGTAAATTTAGTTAAAAAAAGATAATTTACTACCAATAAATACACGGAAGCATAATATATTTTGCCCTATGAAGTATCAATAACCAAACATTATGGATTGTTAGTAATATCTAATTATTATCAATTAAGGTACAATATTTGTTTTGATTATAAAAATAAATTAAAAATAAATTAAGTCTGAAAAACAATTTAATATCAAAATAAATCAACAAAAGAAATCAAGATGAAATAGATATATGCAGAATGTAACAATTGATTGAATTATTAATACAATTAAATCATTTTAAGTCGTATCAAACTCCGGAAAGTGATTTTCTTGAATGAAGTGTTCAAATTCGCCTCCTTACAGTTATTTTAAAGTTGGTCGATTATGTTAGACGGCATTCGTTCTTATTAAGTTGATTCAGGCGCAATATGAGAGTGATGCCGTCGTCAGATTTGGATCGACTTTCGCATCTTACAGAAAAAAAGTGTTTATACTAGTGCGGGCGGGGTAGAGTTTTCTTACAGTGAGAAGTGTCACCCGAGATGATCGATGCAGTATACCGAGATCGAATTACGATTTAAGAGAAAAAATGTCCATTGAAAAAAATGTGTAGTTATTTTATATGAGTGTATAAATGGTGACTTTTTGTTAGATTAGATATTGAATCACTTTTGAATGTTCGCTTGTATAGGTTATTTCATAGAATGCACGTTTTTTGTAAGAAATATTTTTCAAGTTCGATTTACTGTACGAATCTCTCCATTCCTATAAAAAAATGTAGTTTGACAATGAAAGAAAGGCTTTCCATTTATAAGAACAGTTTTATACTTAATAATCTTATTTTGATTGAAATTTTCTCCTTCCTGTACTGCATAATCTTTTTATATGAATTTAAAAATATATTTTTAAATAAATTTATTATTTTAAGATTTCTCTGTAAACTTAAATGAGTCTCTTCAGTATAATAGTCTACCGTCTACCGAAAAATTTGAACGAAGGCATGACGTTTTTGGTTGGGATTTTTTCTGTACGTACCACTGGGAATATAAGGAATAAAATATATATTTTAGAATTGCAGTGAGATAAGAAGATTATTGTACAGTAAAATTTTACTGAAATGACAAGATTTTTAATTTTATTTACTTTTATAAGAGAAGTCATAAACTTCGTTATAATTTATAGCATACATAATGAAATTTTTAACATCAGTATTTATAGTAGAATAATAAGAGCCTTAATTCTTTGTCGTTAATTTGAAATAATTACAGTCTGGTAGTACTCCTCTAATATTAATAATGTGCATGTATACAAATAAATGAATTGATTATCGAGATGGCTACTATAACTATTGAACATACTATTTAATTGCTATATAATTTAATATAAGTGCAATACACTTATGTTAAAGATAATATAAATATAGTATAATTATAGCACAGCGTTTATTAGGCCTCATGCATTGATAAAAAATAAACATTGATGATTTGAAAACAACAAGTAACAAAAAGCAACCCAGGACTAAAAGAACGTTATAATACATTTAAATGTAAACCCAAATCAATACAAACAATGGAAACGACCCGACAACACGCAAATCAGAGAAGCCCATAAGATGCGATCCGAAATTCAGCGGCTGTAATTTACCCCACCTCAGTTCAATTCTTGCTCAATGAAAACATTCCAAACGGACGTTTCGTGTATGTGCAGGGTCGACCATTTTTGTATGTGTATACGCGTGCGCGCCTTAACGGCATACGAGGAGTGACGGGTCTGTGTGTGTGCGTTCTTTACAGTTAATGGAGGCTGGTCGTCCTGGTCGGCCTGGTCCGAGTGTCACACACGTTGCGCCAAAGGCGGACAAAAGAGAACGCGGACCTGCACGAACCCGGCGCCGATGAATGGCGGACAGCCCTGTCTCGGGCCGGCGCAACAGAAAAACGACTGCAATACCAACTGTCAACCGGGTGAGTTGCTACCGTCTCTTTACCTCTGTCTTTCTCTTCCTTTTTCTCTCTCTCTATTTCTCATTACATTTCGTCCCGACCGACCGACGTCTCTTTCACTTCCTTCGTTTCTCTCGTTACGCTTGATGTGCTTTCCCGCGATCTAGTATCGTTTTTTCGAAGGTGTTCAAGATCAGAGAATGAGCGCAGTGCGAAAAAGAGAAATAACGCACTATGCGATTGAGAGAGAGAGAGAGAGAGAGAGAGAGAGAGAGAGAGAGAGAAAGAAAGAGACGGGCTTGTTGAATAACGAATAAAGTAGATGCTTCGGGTATTGAAAGCTAGACAAACTGACGACGAGTGGCTTTAGTCGCGCAACGTTTTAAAAATTGTTGATAGTTTATAAGCTTTTACGTTCATCTTCTTAACTTTTTCTTCTTCACTGATTGGAGATACTGTGCACCGTGCAGATTTTTTCATTATATTTGATTTCAAATTACTATTGTTATGAATACATATTTTTTTGTTTTTCTTTTATCTAATAAAGCGACGTACGTTATCATTAAATTATTTAATGATATTTGATGTCTTATTATGTTAACTACAGGAGGCCACTTACTTCGTTATAAACTTTTTAGTAGAATTAAAAATTTTATAGACTAATTTATTATTCTATCGATCTACATGCTGTAGGTGATAGTACAAAATACTATGCGAGTACCTTTAGCTTGTAATTCTCAATGTCAGTTTATTTAGTAAATATACGAAAGTTGAATAATAAGTAACTTGGAAAGCTTATGAACGTTGCATTTGTAATACTGAAAATTGATCGAAGTAAAAATTTTTTGCGCTACTACGCATAAGTCTTACAATGTAAACAAGTATCATTATAGAAAATAACGAACAATATATTTATATCTAATCGGCATTTATATCTATCAATATACGTATACGTAATGATAATTCGTAATGCATTATAAATTAAAAAAAAAGTATATAACAGCTTCAATTCAATACAACGACAATACGCAGGTTATATTTAGAAATGTATGCATATGATGATACTTACATAGTACTCACACTATATAACCAACAGTAAATAAGTCCGCAATGCCATTTATCATGCACGCTTTCGCAATAACAGAGGAGATGGAAATGTTCTCTAACACAATTGGTGAGTGATCTTTGTTCACTGAGTTGAATGTATTATTACTATACCTAGTAAAAAACAAAAATGCAAAATTCCGTCGTCTGTTTCACCTACATACAATTTTCTTTTTTTCTCCCTGCTTCCTTTTAGACGTAGCCATTAGTTTATATTTATTGCATGTACGCATGTCACTACAAAGTAACGAGTTTTCCCGCTTTTCTCGTCGACCAATAAACAATACTTCCCTAAAAAATAAAGAGAAGAAGATGGTAACGCGTGAGTCGGGATTGGTTGCAGCAGTGGACGGTGGCTGGTCCAGGTGGTCCGCGTGGTCGGTATGCGGTAGTGACTGCACCCACAGTCGGCGGAGGAGATGCGATGATCCAGCGCCAAGTCAAGGAGGTCGACCTTGTCAAGGGAAGGACGTCACCGTGGTTAATTGCACCGGCGGCATGTGCAATGGTCAGCGTACTTTCATTATAACCGACAGTGCCTCCTACGCGGTTCCATTTAACAGCCGAGACGAGATAAGACGGGAGACTTTTATCGTCACTCTTAACCGAATGCTTTGCTTGCTTTGGCAGTTTACTCGTGGGAAGCTCGAAAACTTTGTCGTAGAGATAAGTTTTCCTATGCGTCTGAAAATCTTCGATAGACTTTTAAATGCCGGTTACCTTAAACTTGGTTCGCTAATTTACTATCTTTTTTTTTTATAAATGAGAGTTTCAATTTTTACACTAGAAAAATCGTAGTGCTTCTTTCATCGTCGAGTCTAAGGATATTTTAATTGAACTAAAGCATATCTGAATTAAATGATGATTTTAATTAGTTTTATTTATTTATTCGACTGCAAGCCATATAATATTAATGTAGCCTTATTCAGTGTTTTCTTAATCGAGACGCAGAGAATCGTTTTACATTGGTTAAGTGTATTACATAGTAAATCAGGCTTTATTGACTTTCTCGTGCATGCCTAAATTTACCCCCCAAAAAATTGATATTTTATAGATAAATATTTCTTGGCTACAACATAAATAGAAAATAATTTTTTTCGTGGAAACTCTTGTGCGCCTCATGTATGCGCGCAGTCAAGAGAATTGCCTATTTATATTATGAAGTTCCTTGTTCATTATACCATTTACAAGCCGCATAAATATGATATATATATATATACTATGTATATTAATGCACGCACGTATGCATATCTTCATGGGAAAAAATTCTGCATTTTTCAGTAGACAGCACTAAAATCGGAGGAACCCACTTAGCCGAAGAGGGTAAGTGTACTTTCAAATCATCAGGCAATTTTTACTTCTTCGGAAACCACTTATTATACCGTCCTTCTTCCTTCCCATGACCATTCTTTCCCACATACACGCGCGCATCACCCATGTAAGAAATTTAATCATTCTTCCATCGTTACAATATTGTTCTTATGCGAACTGCTAGACGAAGTGAGTACGTGTAAGTAAATAAATAAACGAGAAAGAGAGATAGACAGACAGACAGACACACAGAGAGACAGAGAGAGAGAGAGAGAGAGAGAGAGAGAGAGAGAACCGCGTATTTTACGACTTCCGCTGTAGCTTTTATTGGCTTCATTACTACGAAGGATCCGTCATTTATCTCTTGACTGGCGCGTCCATACAACACTTGTGACCGTTGTCTGTTACAGCGAGCCAGCAAATGGACGTTGCACTTTACGTAGGTCTGACGGTCGCCTGCGTTGTGATCGGAGGCCTGGGCTTCTTCCTGGCGAGACTCGTACAACGCAAGGGTCGCGACCACTCGCTCTATTCCATGGCCCGAAGCGGTAAGTCATTTCACCGTGAGCGAAATGTCACGCGGAATTCGATTTACCGAGCATATTTATTTGTGAAGCGTCGATCGATGATGTATGAAGTGTAAGGACTATAAATGACGAGACTTACGTTGAGAGCTAAGTAGCGGGGATATCCTAAGTTGAAAATCATAAGCTCGTCCGCATAGACAGCTTTGACTGCTAGTCGCATTAATAAAAATTGCCAAAAGATGGGAAACATGCACAACGCTATAATTTCCTATTTTGGAGTAGCACAAATCAGTGTCGCGAATTTTTCCATAAAAGTTGTACCGAATATAAGTTAGCGTATGATCTATTATACTCCTCTTATGCATATATTTAATTGTCTTTTTCTTCAAGTGGCCTTTAAATCTTACGTTTAGAGATTTTATTTGCTGTAGTATTGTAAAAAAATTTATTTCATCAACAGTATTTTGAGTGAATAATTAATTCTCTATTAATATTTCTCTATCAATAATATCGTTAATCCTCGTAAATAACATGCTCCGTAAAGATTATACGACAAAATAATTCAATGTTAAGGAAAATGACATTTATAGTATCATTATTTCAATCACTAAATTATTAGAATTAATTGATGGAAATAACTTAACAATTAAAAAATTTCAATTAATTTTCATATAAAAAGATTTTGTCTTTTTAGCTTCACTTAAGGTGCTTTTATACCATTATACTATTGAAATTTGGAATAGTAAATAAATATTTTTTTTGGAATAGTAAATAGTCATACTCATTATGCTGCACATAAATAGTTATTGCCTATTTCTCAGTATTAAATCTTATTATAGTTTTGATGTAGGATATAAATATATGTTAAAGCAAAAATAAGGCATGGTAAAAGCTATAAAATTCGAGCAAAGAACAACAAAAGCAGAGAATAACATTAAGTGGATGAAGGAAATGTCATAACGCGAAAGATCGTCTTTGATTTGATTGCATGTGGGGAGATTGGCCCGATACACATGTAGGAGCTGAAAATTTCGTAATTGGAAGCCATAACCCGCGATGGAGATAAAGCTATTTGCTGTAGAATGATTTGCTGATTCATATTACAAAATTGGATGTGCACATAAATAGAGTTGTGTCAAAAAGTTTATTTTCTTTTTATGTTTGTGTTTGTACACGAAGAATTATCGAAAAATGATAAAATATCCTGCAGGTTGCAGAAATGCCTAAAAGACAAATGTATTGAGTTCACAAAGTAAATTACAAAAAATTCGTCTACTGTAATATAACTCTTATTCGATTGTTTCAAAGTTTTAAATAAAAAATTTTTTTTATAGGAATATTTTTTATTTTTCTAAAATTATTATTGCTTTATTATTGCTTTATTGCTTAATTATCTGAGCTTTAATAATGATTTCATATAAAAATGTTTAAAAATGTAGTCACAAAAATCAATTTAATACAATATTATTATTGAAAAGTTACCCCCCCCCCTCTCGAGAGAGGAGAAAATAAATCGAGCTCTGTAAAAGTTTAATTCGGCCCGTCTATAATCAAAAGTACAAGGGGCGGATGAGTAAGAGAAATGAGAATTAGCAGCTGGACCTGTCCTCCCATTACAGATTTTCAGCCGGAATTCTATCAAGACCAGGAAAAGAAGTTGAGCCTCCAACCCGACGTGACGGCGACGATCGTTCCCGCTTGCTACGAATATCCCTTCGACCCAAAACTCTCGATGTCGCGATCCCTCTCGGAGCATCACTATGACGTGCCACACCTGTCGTTGCACTCAGGCCCACAGTCGTCTTCTATCGTTCCCTCGACGATGTCACCAACGCCGAGCACTTCGACCCAGGAATCTTGTAGCAGCGACAAGCAGATGCTGTCCGGAAGCGAGGATAGCCTCTCGAGTTCGTATCCGTCCACAGAGTCAACGTATAACGTGGCTACGGGCAATGTCAGGCTGCCGATGCTCGAAGTTGGCAACCTTGCACGCGCCCACGTCAATAACCGGGGTGCTCTCCTTGTCCTCCCCGATTCTGGAATTTCAATGTCGGTGCCAGAGGGTGCGGTGCCTAAGTCTTCGCGGGTCGATCTTCACCTCGCAGTTCTCAACGAGGATCGATTCCGACCCCATCTGCCAGGTTAGTAACAGTTCCGTAGTTTACATTACCTAGCACTTAGACCATTGATGGGATTTCGCGATTCTCCGCTTTTCACGCCTCCACATCTCCCTATCAATTTCCAATGAATTCATCGCTTCAGTTATGCTCATTACGATGCGTTTCTTACATAGCAGACGGAGTTCGAAGCGCTTCTGGTCTTCTGGTAAGTGGCTTTCCAAGAATTTTAGCAAACATAATAGAGTAAATGATTGCACCCTTCATTGCAATTTAACGAGCTAATACAAAATATGTACTGACTCCGCAATTCTTCTATATTGGATAGAGAACATTTTTAATGGTGCTTTCTTCTCTTAAATAACAGATATATTTTATGGTTTCATTGTATGAAATCTTTGTAAAAGTTTCGATTTTACGAAATAAATAAATTATTCATTGATTCATTATAAGTTAGTTAGATGTATTAGCTTACTCATTCAGACTAACGTATTTTGCACTGAATCAGAAAATTAAATAATAATTAAATAATAAAATAAAATAATAATATAAACATTTAATAATTATGATTACAATTAAAATTAAATTAAAAATATTATATTTATCTAACTACACAATACTGCTAGTTTAAATTACTTATGAAATTTTAAATATTATTTCAATGTGTAGATATACAGAATGTAAGATGAGAAATAAATCAAATTCCACTTATGAAAATTTATGAGCATATAACGTAATAACGTATCAGACCTCCCAAGAACTGATTCAATTTTTGAAAAAAAACACTCCTTCTATCCGTAGCAAATTATACGAAACATAAATTGATTAGTTTCCACGCGGCTTAATAGAAAGCAAACCGCAGCATTCATCACCCGCGTTGAAAAGCAAACATCAGTAAAAAATGTCCTGCTTTTTCTAATAAGGCCACGTGAGTCGAACTCGACGGAATTCGTATTAAGAAATTAATATTCAATGGTTCCTTTGTCAGAAAATATTCTGCGCACATAATTTTTGATTTTTATCTCATGGACGTTCGTGCTGATCGCTAGCATGGTAACGTCGTAAAAATCAATTTCATTAAAATATTAGGAGGGATAATTTATTTCCAGAGATCAAATAATCGAGTTTTGGTTAGAACAGCTTAATCACTCGACACCTCCTTCTATGCTCCTTTTCTCGGTACATGTGTAGTTCATTTACTCAATTTATTAGAAAATATCTTAGTGATTCATTTTTGATGTATTGTTGAGAGATAAATTTCATGATTAAAGCTAATGTCTTTGCTTTTTATCTTTTTGATATATATTAAATTTTGTAATATTTAATTTAAACATTATCTTATGAACTACATTAGAGTTGTTTTACATAAAATTAGATGAACTTTCACTTTTAATAGATTATATTTGATATAAATATTTTATTTTTTCTTCTATGCTTTTTATATAAAATCACATGTTAATCATTATCTCAATAAGTCAGCTAAGCTTTGAATATATACGGCAGCAGTTACAGTATAAAAATTAAAAATATTTTGACCTAATATGGCATTATTTTCATAATTATTAACATTTATTATGTTTTGTTAGTGATAAATTAACATTCATATATACAAATATTGTTTGAAAAAGAAGAAGCTAAGTTCATGAAATCTTATATAATCTTATAATTTTCACTAGTATAAGGCTCTCTTCTATATTAAATAATATTAATAAATATTTTTTTAATGTATTAAGTAAAGTATATTGATACTAATCGATAAAATATGATTGAATTACAATAAGTAAGTTATTGTGCATTATAAATAATTAGATAAAGTGTAAGCGAATTTATATATATTTATAATCTTAAGTTGAATTGCATTATATAAATTGTATTCCAGTGTTTAATTAGTTTAGTTTTCTTGTACCATGTTACTTTAACCTTACAACATTCTTTTATGTTTTATAAATTTTCCTCCTGTTTACTACTATCGTTATCTCTCTCGATATTCATATTAAAAAAAAAGTGATATGATCTCATTTGAGTATCCTCTAATAACTAAATTAGGTATTAACAGAAACCTTCCATATCCATATTATCACCTGACTTTTACAATGAAGGAGGGAAGCTAGTAAGCGACTATTCTTCCCTATGCTAATTGTGTATTTCTATCTTTTCTGTGCTTATTTTCGGTTGGCGATCAATGACCTTGTAGAAGGAACAACACAGCTCTCGGCGGTGGTAACGTGTGGCCCTTCGACAGCCTCCTTCGCCAAACCCGTGATCGTTCAGTTCGAGCACTGTGCAATGCTACAACCACCTGCTTGCTGGGAACTTCAAGTTTGGTGCTGCGACAATCTTGAGACCTCGGAGGACGCGGTCAAAGAGAAATTGCCCGTTTGGTCGAAGCTACTGACTCTCGGCAATGAGACCATAAACACACCTCTATTCACGCAATTGGATCATGCGGAAGTCTTCCTTGTGGCCGAACAGCTGCGTACATATGTTCTTGCGGGTCGGAGCTGCGAAGGAACGAGTGCCGGCAAACGTCTGCGCCTTGCAGTGTACGCAAGCCAGGAGAGCAGTGGTGGTGTCTGCTGCTGCTGCCTCCGGGTTTATGCGGTTGAGGATACAAAGGCCGCTGGCAAGGCACTGGCAGAGCGCGAAGCCCAACTACGGGGCTGCGTACTAGATAAACCGCGAAGTCTCCCCTACGAGGACCGAGGCGGATCGTTACTAGTGAGCCTTGAAGAAGTCGGTAACGAGTGGCAAAGCAAATCCGCGACCGAGCGACGAGAACTCGGTTTTACGGAGCTATGGAGCGGCCGCGAGGGGCTCAAGTACGTAAGCTTCGAGCTCGAAGCCGGCGGCAGCGGCGCCACTCGTACCTACAAGCTCCAGATCTGCCAAAGCTCATCGCCGGAGGCGCGCCAGGTTTTCCGAATTATCTACGATGGCTCTAAACAGCTCATATCATCCGGGAGCGTGACGCGACCCTTACGTGAGGTGACTGTCGTCAGCAGTATCGCAGCGCATGGAGCTACGAGTTCTAGCGCTGATTCGAAGACACTCAGGCCCTTTAGGTTTACACGCTCCCTCAGGAAGCAACTCTGTCAGTGCCTCGACCCCCCCAACTCACTCGGCAATGACTGGAGAATGCTCGCGCAAATGCTACGCGTTGATAGGTAAGCAGTTCAAGATCATTCCCCGACCTACTTTTAATTGCTGCCTCTTTCTCCTATTAACAACTACTACATCTGTTTGACTACATATTCGTTCTAGTAACGCTATATGACCAAATTCTAATATTATTTACGCGGTGCAGGTGATGTTACATTTTTAATAGTGGACCCATACCGGTGCTATTTGAGCCGTTGACTTAGACACTTTCAAATGGATTCGGCATTAAAGAGAAAAGAAATGTCGTGTTCAAATGCATGGTTTTATTTTCCCTTAATCAATGTTTTATTGTGATCTTTATGCGTCCAAGGTTCTTCAATTATTTCGTTTAAAGCATAAATTGCCTACCTACTTATTTATATGGCTTCGTATAACGGAACTAAATAGACGAATACAAATATTGCTGGATCGTAAATGATTTATTGTCAAGTGGATACCTTTTAATAGACTCTCTACGAATATATCAACTGTAATTTTAAGTAAAGTGCGTAATGTAATTTTATAAACGGAAATTTTATGGTAATATTTAAATCATTTTATATGTTTCGGTAAGATCTTATATAAATAATGTGGCGCTTAAAACTTTTTAAAACTTAAGTAACATATTCATTTTAGTAATATAATAAATATAACTTTCAAATTACAAATGAAAATAAATAAAATTCAAGTTATCACTGGTTACGTATGCAAGGAAATTTTCTCAGACAAATATATTAAAATTTCATGATTAGTAAAATACTATGCTTATCGCTTGATAATAGATCATTCGTATATAATTTATACTCTTATTTTATCGAGCCCGTTTTAATTTGAAAAATATATAGAACACATATGTTATTCAAACTGCGTCGGAATTAGATATTTATTTATTATATTTATTAATTTCATTCTATTTCATTGTATGCAATTATTTTCCACCAAATAGATACAATACTTAGAAGATAGAAGTTATAATACTTAGAAGTTAGAACTTTAAAGTCGAAAAATTATTATTCTTAAGAGAATTTAGTTTTTTCATCATATTACATATTTTGAATAATTAAGACTATATTTTTTCATTATATAATTTTTTTTTCTTTAACTTAAACTTCATTTTTTAAAAATTCATTAATACATCTAAATGTTATTCTACTATTTGAAATTCATTTGAAGTTAATAAAATTGAATCTTAATACTTTTATATTTCTATAATTACTTGATTAAATCTAGTATATACTAATTTATAAATGAAACTTCAACTTCATAAACTAACTACAGCCGGATAAATAAGGAATTAAATGAGTCTTATAGTAATCAATATTACGCACATTACTTAGTACGAAAGTAAGATCGCTTGCATCTTACCAGACATTTATTGCTTAACTTGGTATTGGAAATTGTTGAGAGTAAGTAATACCGGCTTATCGCAGTTTGTTCGTTATTTTACCGTATTTTATTCTCCAATACTAGTGTACGGCGGAATTACATTGAAGCCCGCAGGCCAAAAACTTTCAACCAATACCTCGTGCGTTCGATCGCAAAATTCCTGTAAAACCTAACCGACTAGCAACAGTATTGAAGAGCCAAGTCGATAAAATGCTTCTTTTGATCCTAGATATAAGAGCGCGTTTGTAAGTGACGACGATAGGTAATCGTGCCAACGTTGGGACGATGAGGATCTGTTAAAAATCCTTCATGTTCCGGATGATACATTATTAAAACTGTCTCGCTTTGTATATATAACTAAGTAACTACATCGGTTTATCATTCTTTAATATTCGTGTATAGAAAATAGCATTGATAACTAAGATATAGATAAATAGATTAATAGATTGAAAGGTACATCGATGAAGTGAGAAGAAAACAGAGACATTCAAAAAGATTGAATGAGGTAGAAATAGCGTATGTACTTGTGTCCACAGATACATCAATTATTTTGCGACAAAGGCGAGTCCGACGGAGCACATTTTGGACTTGTGGGAGGCGAGGCATCGTGAGCCGACGGCCGTCACCGACCTCCTCAATCATTTAAGGGTCATGGGAAGGACCGACGCTGCGACTATCCTTGAGGCCCAACTCGGACCCTGGCTTTAAAACTACTGGAAAAGTGCGGGTCTGCGGCCGATGATAATCACTGTTTAATGTTTCATCGTTCGCGCTACCGACACACGTGTGTATAGAGGCTTGTTGTGTATCATGTAAGTGAGTTGACGGAAGAGGATGTGTGCTGCGAATAATCCAAAAAGCGTGGGGCGCAAGTTTACTCGATAAATCTGAGGATACGTATCAATCTACGTATGTAAATTCTTTCATATTATTCCTAAGATAAAATCTGCAACGAGTCAAACGGAAGTGAAAGAAGGAGGGAGGAGGATAGAAAGCCGCAATAACAGCGGATATGATCAATCGGAATAACGAAATATGGCCTTATTGCGCGTCTTTAAAATCGAATATAATGAACCCGTAGTAAACTTCGAGGGAAGAGAGCGGGAGGAGCCTGTAAATATTTAATGAGACTGTTAATTGTGTTGACTTATACGTGTCGATCGCCGCGTGCATGGCGATTAAAAAATAAATTAATGACAGGAGAAAAGGAGCAATGGTGATGAGAAAGTGAGACGAGGTAAGCGACTAAGACATTATATTTCTTTTCCTAGCTACGAATGGATACTTCTCTTTTATTTAAGCTCGTACCATTATTTTGGTAAGACATTATTTATTTTATAAAAATTATGCAGTTACACATGTCACACGTGTGATTAATGTACGATTATTTATTAACTATTGGACTGGTGCTGATATTTCGATGCCTGAAAATTATGAAATGAATTTATGTCTCAAGAACATTATATACGTGTGCAACACTTCGAAAAATATCCGAATCAAATAAAAATTCGCTCTGCTATTTTTATCATTATCTGAAATTGAGCGGTAAAGCTGCACAATAATGTACGTTGGTTGAAAACTCGCTAATGCTTTTAATCTAGTATTTGCAACGAAAAAAGAGATTTTCATTATTAATCTTCATTCGTTTGCTCTTATGAGCCTTTATTAGCTATTGTAACTATTCATCCATAGTTAATGAATATCAATGATTGTTAATTGATGAGCATCGTTTTCATCCATGCATACTAAGCTTGCTTTTATTCCTAACAGACAATTCTTAAAATTTTGATTACTATTAAGTAAGATCCTCTTAGAAATCTAAATCACCGTTAAAATTGTTTTTGAAGATAGTTTCTGCTCCTAGGTTATAACGAAAACGATATGTACAGTATTACTTAGTAAAGAATTACTCTGTACGGCTCAATCGTGTAAAATTACTATTAATAATTAATAATTTAAAAATTTAATTGTTATTTATCGAGAGTTTTACGTTTGGCGGGGTTAGTAAGTTAAAAAGACTAAATTATACTGTGCGAAGTAATAAAAATTGCTTCGTGAATAGAAATAAAATACATTGAATATAGCTGTAAGCATAGCTGTAAGGATGTACTATGACTACTGCCAATTTTCTCAATGATATCTTGTCGCTGCAAAGAGAGATCGAAAATAATACTGAAAGCACATACCATTTCGAGCGTGATAAATGATTGGCGAAATGTACGCGATATAGTTTTATTGATGCGTTTCGTACAATCGATGTGAGTGATGATATTTAATTTTTTCTGGTTCCCAAAAGCCGTTTAGATATTTATATATACAATGGCGTTCTATCGGTGCACCGATCATACTGTGCAATGTACTTTGACCGACGATCGTGATGAAACGCGAAGGAAACATATATAAACGTTTTTATACAAAAATTCCGCTGTGAATCGTCGTTACATTGATAATCCGTATGACTCCTTGTTCTACTTATTTTTCATTCGCATGTGGACAAAAACTAATGAAATTGTTTTTCTCGTTGTCACGGACTTACTTTTTTGTCGCATTCACAAATGTTCATTTCACTTTTTCTTATTATACTTGTTATTTTTACATATATGGATATGTAGCCATTCGTAAATAACAAAAAATGAACTGATTCTTATAAATAATCACAGTACAACGATCGTCAAATCATTTTTAGATTAACGTATACTCGTGATGATAAAAAATAATATCGACACCAATAAAAGTTTATATATATATATATATATATATATATATATATATATATATATATTCAATTGTATATGTATGTATAGACACGAAGAGGCGTATTAGCATTTATATATGGATTTATGTATTATACAAGTAGAAGGATTTATAAGATGTATCTAAAACTCAGATGCAAACATAAAATGTGCCGTATTAAAGCTCGCGAGGAAACCACAGGGATATCTTTCGAGATGCAAATCGTGAACCAGCCACTAAATTCGATTGTTTCAATGCCGCATCATATTGCTTAATGAAATTTTCCCCTTGAATTTTCTTTCATGCGTCGCGCATGTTAATGGATTATGATGTAGCTGGGACTATTTATAAATTTTCTAGATCAGATATTCTTTTTAATCTAACTCTAGAGTTCGTATATGTAAACATGAAATTAAGAGAAGAGTTATTGAATCATTATCAGTGCCTAGTTGATTGTTTAATATTATATGTTTATCAGAATATATTTTTATTATTTATTATCTAAATATAAGCTTTAGTTCGTTATAACGTTATGAGCGCGAGATGTAAAGATATTCGAGTGGTTTCGCAGTACATGCGCTCAATGAAGCTATTCAAAATTAAGTTTGTATAGGAAAAAATGGCGGCTCTATGTAAGTGGTAATATGAAATAAAAATAAAATAAAAATAAAATTTATATATATATATATATATATATATATATATATATATATATATCATTCATAAAAATTTTAAACTTCATAAATATTTAAAGGAAAACTTATCGTAAACGTAATGTTTTCTCTTAAGAATATGAAAGGATGTGTACTGTAAGGAGAAAAAGTGAAAATAACTGACAATTATCTTACATAGAGTAAACATTTTTTGTTGTTAAAAACAACGTATGACTTCTAGGATTACCAATACAACGGCGCGCATTTTATTGTCACCCTGATCATTGTAACGCAAACTATTGTATGAACATTCAAAGTAATCGGTGCCAATAAATAAAAAATTGAATATTCTATATGAATTCGTGGTTAAGTTTATGTAAATCTACAGTGATGTTCAAGACTAATTCCAAAGTTTAAGTCTTTATCAGTCATTTATTAAATCGTTTGTGCCAATTTCCTAAATGCGATAGTTTAGTATATTGCATTCTTTTTACATGGAATTCCTTAGAGTGAAATTATCAAGAAAAATTTTTAAATTATTGTTAGCTAAATTTTTATTTTTGTTAACATATAAAAATAATTCATGAATTTTACCGTTGATGGTTGATTAAACAAGTGCTTACAAATTTATAATAATTATGAATATATTCATTTGGCATTTAAAATTTTTTGAGTATAATTAAATTAAATTAGTTTTTAAGATTTTTATACAAATATTTCAAACATAAAAAGAGATTCGATTTTTTTGGTACATTTAAGAAAAATATTAATTTTTTTCATAGTCTATTCTAATGCACATTAATGATTTACTCTAATAAAATAAAATCATATCTGATAAACACATGACGAAAATAATTTCTCAAGCTAATACATAAATTTGCTCTCAGGAGTTCTTCCTCGATTCCTTTCGTATAAATCACGCTCATGAGCGTTTATACGACATTTTGCGTTATATATATATTTTTTTATATCGATGATTCGAGATAAATCAACTTCAGTGTACATATCGATTATAATTTTTATTCACGCTAAATATTGCACAGTGGAATTACTATTTAAAAACAGAGTGAATCTTTATGGAAGCCGATTTCCCTCTATTATTGCACTAAATTAGCCTGAATTTACAATGCATAATTTACAAGAAATAAAGTAAAGATTCATTCCATTATTGCTTTTATAATTTTCAATATAAAATGCATATTTGTATTAAGGTAATGTTGCAACCAAATTTGGTATATACTATATGTGTAGTATTTTTTCATACTTTTGCACTTTTCAATTGTAAGCGTGATCGATGCGCTTTCGATGTATCCACTGTGTCGCTAGTTATGCAATTAAAAATGGTCGCTCAAAAAAGGAGCGGCATACACGTGGAGTATACGTGACCTATTACATGCGACCAACGAACGATCCGCGGCCAGCATGAAAAGGAGCCTGTTTTTTCAAAAGATACCGATCGCCTGTATGTATCTTTTTTCTTCGTTTCCATTATTCTGATATTGTCGTTTCATTTGAACGAAGGAAACTAGAAATTTGTATATTTGTTATCTTAGACGAATAAAATATTCTTGTATACCTGAAGAACTTGCGTAATATTCATTTTAGATTCCTGTTCCCACCTTTTATAATTAACTTTTTTTCAATTGTAGCATCCATCTATTCTTCTACCTGTAATTTACTAAATTACGGCACAAATGTTCAATTTATCTCTATATTGCAAAGCATCGAATGGAACCTGTAAACTAAGGTATGTGATAGTCACAGTCAACTGAAATAACTAATAAAAATAAATATGATATCTATATAAAATTCAATAGATTTCGAAACATTACAATAATCAATGTATTTTTATTGATTATTAGAAACTGCTAGATCTTGATAATATTTTAAGTTTATATTTTTAATATATAGACTATAATTTAAATACATTGTATACAATTTAACTTTTTTTAAGCTGTAAAGAAATATGGATCAACATACATAAAAAGTGCTACCTACACAATGAATCATATTCAATAGCAACTACTGTAAAAAAGTTGTCTTTATAGGTGCTGTTTAATATTTAACAAACACATTTTTTTTTTCTATAATAAATGAATATTATCAAAACAGAATGAAAACTTATATTTAGTTCTGTAAGATGTCATAACTATATTATACATTTATTGATTAAATTCTACATACGTTAAAGTTAAAGTATAATATTTTGCATAAATATTTAAATAAAAAGTTGGAATTTCCTAAATTTATCAAAAAATGGTTAGAGTTATGAGATAAAATAAAGAGAGAAGAAAGTGAGATATATAGAAAGAGAGAGAGAGAGAGAGATAATATAAAATCTTCGAACAATAAAATTACGTTGCATATTATTTACGAATCGGAATTCACAAAATCTGATTGAATTC